AGAGCTTGCTTTCAATGCAATATTGACTTGTGTGGTATATTTTTGCAGGATATCTGATTTCTCCCTGTCAAAGAAACACCATAAAAAGGACATAAACTGAGCCGAAAGAAACTTCAACAGATGTACCCACTGAGTGAGTGGAAGTCATGAGAAGCTGCAGGCAATGGAGTGGGAGGGAAACAGTCAATAAATCAGGAGGTCTCTGGGAGAAGCAGCGTAGGAAGTAACAGCAGAGAGGGCTGGAAGCTCAGTGCATGCACCAGTGGGGCCTGGCCAAGTGGTTTATTTTTATTTCTAAATATTCAGCATGCCCTGGAAGGAATATTGTGGTTCTCACTTCTGAAATAGTACTGTGGCTTGTATCAAGTGTAATTTGCTTCAACATTTTTGCTAAACCAAAACATACCAGTCTGTTTGTTTTAGAGAGGTGAGGAGCAAGTGGCAAGGATTGGCTAAAGGGTCTTTTTCTTCCCTCAGTGGATTTGGGCCAATTGTTTACAGATTCAGACCTGCTGTCAGAGCAGCATCCACCCAAATTTGCTGCCAGGAATGAACTCCTTAAATAACACGTCTCCTTCCAAGCTTGAAGGTGACCACAAGTTTACAGCAAAAGGACCTTCCTGTGTATTTTTGATTGCACTCCAGATTTGAAGGGGCAAAAAAATAACATGGTTTGGGAAATAACATCTCATTGCAGAAACCATGAACTACTCCACTGGGCAGTACATTTAAGTGCTGGGGCAGCTGCACTTGCACTGGTTCCACTGCAGCTCAAGCTCACCTCAGGCTTGGACCTGATTTTTCACTTACTAACAAAAAGATCTGGGGAAATTATTTTCCCAGGGAGTAAGAATTTCTGGCACATGACCCTCAGAAGAAGGTTAATGTTACAAAATTCCCATGATCTAGAGCCATTATGGAGGCTGTTCAGCTGGAAGGAAGTGGAAATGGATTAAATGTATTATATATGGTGGCTTTATGGTAAACCAGGAGCAGCCCAGTGCTGGGCAGTTGGCAGTACTGATTAACCAGTTATATAAGCAGTGAAATACCATAGAAAATATCTGACAGTTACTCTGTACTTTTATTCTAAGAATTAACTCCAGTTCCCCACTTCATGGGTGGGGTTTTCCCACTTCATTTCTGTGTGCTGCTGTAAAGAAAGGTCTGTGATGACTTGTGCCTCCTTTAAGCATTTTTACCTCCAAAAGTAAGTACCATGATAGGTAACTCAGAAGATAGACCTTTCCCATCCTTCTTATTCAAAGACAAATACTTGATAAAATGCAAACCAGTAGAGAATAAGACCAGTGATGAGATATTTAATAAGGTAATTTTTAATGTGAAGCTTGCATTCAGTGCTCAGACACAGGCTGTTTGAGTTGGAAATACATCTGTATTTCTGTATACATCACTCAGCAGAGGGAGATCCCAGTCTCCTGAACTTCCCTGCCAGGACAACATTCACCCTTGGAGCAGCTCTATTCTGCTTCCTCAGACCTGTGCCTCAGAGATTCCTGTGCTGCCCTTCTCCTTGAAGGATAGCCCTTGAAGGGCAGGAAACTTCAAGGCAAGAGACATTGTTTTTTCTTCCCCATGCCAGGACAGAATGTGTTTTTCCTAGTTTTCTGACAAAAATCCAATGGCTGTGATGATCATAACAATTATGTTGGAAGAAAAAAAAAAGCTGATATTTGAAGCAGAGACTCTCCTCCAGCCATCCCCTGCTGTGCTTCCTCCTGACAGTCATCAGTCCCCGGAACTGAACAAGCTTCCCCATCACTCTAAGCTACCATATGCCTTGTCTCTGTGACACCATTTGTTTTCTTTTACAGTTATTTTCATCCGTTGTTAAACATTCCTCTGAGATGACACCTTCTACCTTTATCTGCAGCCAAAACCCATTGCTTGCTCTCTGGGTGGTATATGTCTGCCTCTCTCCTGGATCCAAGAAGCTGCAGCTGCATCACTGTGATCTTGTGTCAGCTTTCCCTCTCTCTCTTTCTCCCCTCCAGTCAGAGTTTTCTAGGAAGGCAATGCCCTTGTTCTTCCAAACCATTACCAGTAAAGCCTGTGAGCACTCACCAGATGAAAAGCTAATGCTGGCTTACCTATGCAAAGCAGGGCTGTTAGTTGAGGAAGGGTAAAATGAAAACAGGCTGCTAACCCGCCTCTGAACCTGCTCAGATGCACCTGGATGGAGTAAGTACATCCAACTTATCTGAGTATTTCTTTGATCCAAAACTGGATCCTTGAGGAGAGCCATTTTTGATCAAACACAGCCTGAAAGAGGAATGCCATCTATGACCTGGCATTTTCTTCAGTGAGAATGGCACACACTTCTCCAAATCCAGAGATTTCAGCCTACCAGCTGCCAGTGGCAGTTTGCTGACAGTGGGAAGAAAACCAATTCAGCCATAGCTGCAACCCAGGTACAGCTGCCACAGGTGCCTGCAGACTTCCCTGGAGTACCTGGAAGAGTTTCCTTACATGGCACCAGCATCCCATGTTGTTATGACTTCTAATGTGTAATGCATCCTCTCTTGCCTGCTGCAGTGCTGAAGAAACCAGGAGCACAAATGTCCCACGCTGAACAGTGTTAGGTTGCGTGATTGACGGCTCATTGCCACGAACAGAGGAACCATGACAGGCAGAGGAACCCCCATAACCTCACCAGAGCCGGCTGAGCCTTTGACAGGGCTGTTCCCAGGACTGTCATGGGGATCCACCAATAGTCCCACGGCCAATGACAGAGGCTTCCTGTCAGCTCCCAGACGGAGGGTGTTGCCTGCAGGGCTGGGAGCTCACGGGACAGATGGCTGGAGCCGTGTTTTCTGTCTGCATTTCACTGATGCCTGTGTGTCTGTGCATCTGTCCATCTGCAGGACCACATGCTCAGCCTTGCCGCGGGCTGGGCGCGGGTACCCGGAGCCGTGGCAGCCCGGCCTAACGCAGCAATAGCTCTTTTTCACTGTAACACCAAAACCGCGTTTCTTTCACAGCAATAGGCATCCAAGCTGGCTCTGCAGCAAGCGGCTGCATCGAGAGCGGTACCTGAGCTGGGCTCACACACACAGCTGCTTTAACATGCTGCGCTGCTCCCGTACGCGAATTTTAATTCCCGTGAGCGCTGTGCTGCAGGGATTCACCACGTGGGATCAGCACCAGCCCAGAGAATTTCTGGCACAGACGTACTCTTTCTCAGAAATGGGAAAGCTCCGCCGTACCTGAGCAGACCTAAAGAAGGTCATACCAAGCCTGTTCAAACCCCTTTTTATCCTTTCTCATCTCCAGAAGATGAGAGGGTTGCGCTCTAGTGGCTGCTCAGGGGAGAAGGCCTCGCGCTATGGAAGGGAGTAGGCACAGCGGGGATCATGCTGCCTGGACTAAAGTAACATGGCACACGGGAGCACACGGGGCGTGTAAATGCTCAGAGTAACGTTTTTACGGCTGGGCTGAGGCCACGGGAGCTTCCAGAACTGTGGAGGGCAGTTCCAAAGATGCTTTTGCCGAGCACAGTGAGGCAACAGCTTTTAGATGAAGAGTTTGCCCCAGTTGCAAATGCTAAATCACTGCTGGCTAGAAATTACTTTTAAAACATTTTTAAATTTGGATTAGTTCACATCAAAAAAAATGTAACCTCATAAAAAAGCAAGTGGGTTAGAAAGTAAACCTCAGGGTTCCTTTTAATGCCTGTTCTTTTACGGACAGATGACGCTTCTTGTTGCTCTCCCGGCAGCTCAACAGGGAAAGAAAGAGCACCAAGGCACTGCAGCCCGCAGCAGCACGTGGATCTACATGGCCACCCACAGAGACAACAGCCCCTGCCACGATGCAGGAAATTCCCATTCCCCTTGTGCATCTTTTCAGATCATTTGAGGAGAAATCACCTAGAGCAGCTGCAGACTCTTCCCAATGTTTTCTACTATTTGGTATCTCAGTGACAGCTTGAGCATCTCTTTTCCTCCTTTAAAGATTTTTCTCCTTTTTTCTCCCAAGGAATGAGGATTTTTCTTTTGTCTCCCCTATCTTTGTATACCACATCGTCCCCTGTGAAGGCAAAACACAGGCTATAGAGGATCCCTCCCTGCCCTAGCCCAGGCCTGTGAGCGGAGCAAGCACTGCCACTTTCACTGCAGCTTTTTTGGACACAGCGTTTTCAACTTGCCTCTAGCTGGGATGTAATTTGAGTTTGGACACAGATGCCTTGTATCTCTTGATGTCTGTAGCCAAAAATGGTGAACTTTTAAGATTTAGTTTTTCTGTCTGAGAAGTCAGAAACTGCCTGGAGAACTTGCCCTTCTCTCTCATGACAGCTTGCAGTCCAGACAATGGGAACTTCTGACATATCAAGATGTAGTGATGCGGCAATGCAAGGCACACCCTTCTTTCCCCTTCAGACATCACACAAACACACCAAATGTCACAGAGGTGGGGACTGCTGGCTTGTGCCCGACTGCGGATTAAGGGGGTGGAGGGAAGGGACACGACCTCGAGCCACAGACAAGCTCCGCCCCACCCTTGGGAAGGCAGGATGGTTTTGGCTTGGCTTCCTCACAAACCCAACCAAATCCAAATGACCATTTAACCCCAAGCAACAGAAGACAGCGCAGCCCACTGGTCCCCTAATTCACTGCTTCTGAATTATAGGTCTGTTTCAGCCCCAGACTTCGAGCATGTGTTGTAAACTAACAAAGACAACAAAGTAGGTTTTGATGTGCTCATCATTTTTGACGGGGGAGAGACAGAAGAGACCCACTGACTTGATGTTCTAACAGAGAAAGGAAATGGTTTTAGAAAGCAGGTTACCTGTAATCTTTATTTGGACAAGGAAATAAATATGTATTCAACTAGTTTTGATGGTATAATCGTGTGTCATTGCACAAGAATTCATCCTTACACTGGAATGTGCACCATTAACTGTTAAGTTCCACTTTTCATCCAGAAATACATTCAATGGCTTGGAGAAGAAGGAAAAAAGTCCATACAAACAAGGTGTGTCAGAAAGAGGTTAAAAATAAGATTTATTTGCAAATCATTTTGACAATAAACTAGTATCTCTGAGCTGTGCATTTTGGGGACTACAAGTCAGTTCCTTTGCCCTCTGAGATTTCCATTTGCATGCAATGTGGGAATTCAAAACGAAACTTCAAAGTGTCCTTTTTTGCCTCGCTGTGCTGAGTAATTCCTTCCACAGGCACACTACAGGAGAGTCAAAGTCTTTGTAATGAGAAGCTATCACAGGAAACGTGCAATGAAGCAACCTTGTCTTAGAAAGAAAACCATCACATGAGACCTGTTTCACATTTGTTTTACACAGTGTTAAGCACTTCAAGATTCCCACAAGAAGTGCCTGGTGCTGTATGAAAAACACCTCAAACAAGCCAACAAAAAATTCCCCCACAAATCTAAAACAAAACCCAAGGCAACCCTAAAACTGAACAAATAGTAACATCTACCCCTAAAACTCACAACTATACTGAAATCTCAAATTTCTTTCTGATGTTAAGAACGCACAGTGCATCTTGTTATGACCCAAGTCCCCTCTCTTGGAAGCTAATGAGCTGTGTTTCATGTAAAAACAGAGAAAAAAAAGTTGAGATTTAATAATGATGACTACTGTATACAAATAAGCTCAGTAAAAAGGCAATATAAAGTAAGATTTACCTTAGTGCCTGACTGTGTGAATGCAACCTCTAAATTACGGTTAGTCACAGCAGCTGAAGAGGAAGACAGCAGCATCTTCTGAACATTTCTTCCATTTATGCCCGTGCTTCTCCCTGACCTTGATCTGCCTTTCAAAAAGCCTGGAAATTTCAGCTCTGAAGTCACAGTTTGATTTAGATGAGATCACAAGTGTATTCTGAAAACTCTACATGATTAAGTTCTGAACAGACCAGTTACTGTATCTTGCATTAGGGCAAAGCCCAAAGGTAACACAAGGAAACAAGGTAACTCAGAGAGGAAATCAAAGAATCTGACCCACATCTATTTTCAATACAGTTCTAGAAAATATTAACTTTTATAAAAAAAGAGGGACCTTTTTTCCTCTTTATGAAGCTCAAAACAATCCCAATATTCCACACTGTAAAAATAATTTCTCCCCCTCTCCCATATATATGTAATAATGCAAGAAAAGATGCCCAGATATCATTATCAGTTCAAATAAAGCAATAATGAATGCATTAGATCATTCAAATGTAAATAAACATTGTTTATATATAGAAATGTATACAAATATGCCCCAAATATCAAAATTACGTTATAAGGGTAACAACTCTTGGTTGTTAAGTATTTACGCAAAGCTGGAAAGAATAATAGTCTTAGAGACATTATTTTATTTTGAGCTACTTTAGAAAGAGTAAAACAATATTCAACTGAAAGCTCTTCATCATCAGTCCACATGTCATCTCACCATGGGTTCTCCCTATACCTTCTGGGGAACCAAGTCCATTTTTCTGGAATAAATATACTTGGTCATTTCACAACAGCCATTACTGAAATGATCCTGAGAGCAAGGCCCAGAAACTAGGAATCTCTTCAAGCTGAGCACCCTAGCTAATATCAGACTGCCTCCTGCATAAGCTCAAAACTGAGAAAGGGATAATGATTTCAGAATAAATCTTACATTGACAAACATTGCCCCCTCCAACATCTTCAGAGAACAGCAAGAATTTATGATGGGTAAATTTGCAAATCCAGTGGTTATGTTCTCCCATTAGACACCTCCAAGACTTCACTTTTCTAAGCCCTGTGTATCCTTTTATTTCTGGTGTAGTCAAATGTAAAAACTGTTGAGGTTTACTGACATCTGATTTGGGCAACAGTTAAGCTGCAGGTGCCAACATTCTGCGTCAGCCTGTACTCATTTCAGCCGGGAGAGTTAATTTCTTCCCAGTAGCTGGTACAGTGCTGCGTTTTGGATTTATAATGAAAATAATGCTGATAATGCACTGATGGTTTAGTGTAAACATGGCTTAGCAACAACTAAATCAGGGACTTTTCAGCTCCTCACCCCACCCCAACAGTGAGTGAGCTGGGGTGCATAAGGAGTTAGAAGGGGACAGAGACAGGACAACTGACCCCAGCTGATCAGAGTGTTGTCCCAGATCAGATGGTGCCATGCTCAAAATATTAAACTGGGGGGAAACTTGGCCAGCGGTCACTGCTCAGGAACTGGCTGGGCATCAGTCAGCATGTGGTAAGCAATTGCGCTGTCCATCACTTTTTTTGTATATTGTAATTCTTTTATCATTAGTGTTGTTTTCCCTTCTGTTTCTGTCTTATTAAACTGTCTTTGTATCAACACATGAATTTTACTTTTTTTTTTTTACCCAACTCTATCCCCCACCCTGCTTTGGGTGGGGGGTAGGCAGTGGTGGGGTGCAAGCAAACAGCTGAGTGGTGTTTAGGTGCTTGCTGTGTTAGAGCCATAACATGGCCCCTAGAATTCATGGGTTTAGCAGAATTCATGGGTTTAGCAGTATTTTGCAAGACAAAATTTGACACATCTCATTAAGATTCCAAAGTTTGAAAAACTCCTACCCTGAAAGTCCACTATTTGCTGAGGAAGTATCATGTTTACTGAGAACGTGAATTAACTCTGAGCATACCACCTTTAACGACAACACTTCAAAAAGACCTCATTCAGTCTTACAAGTTTTGTTCTCTTACACATCCAGGTCTGAAACCAAGAAATACTAAGAGTTTTTTTTTTTTAGGAGAAGTCTTGTAGAAGTGATCCAGTTTCCAAATGTCATTAAATGTTTTGGCAGAATAATTTTATATGAAATCTGTAATACACTTGATAATGTTTATAATCCAATGATTACTTACAAGAAGTATTATTGCATTTTAAGCGTAAAAATATAAGAGGTTCTATAAAGAAAATTAAAATAGCATTAATCTAATATTGATAGTCATATAAAATAACTCACAATTATGTAAGTTTCCATATTTAATTACACATTTAAAAATAAGTTATAAAAATAATTAAGCTTCTTTAAAACCCCCAAGGTATTTTCTTTTAGGAGTTTTTACTCATATCTACTGATTGTCTAGCATCAGCAACAGCTTCTGGTACTCGAACAGTCATATCATTCATTGATTTCTTCAAGCAGATTTGGCAGCCTAAACGTGATCTGTAGGGAAATATGACATTGTAGTTAGTTCTAGCCCACAAGATATCTAACAGCATTTACCCCCTTAAGCCTCCAACATTCAGCCATCCCAAACACATCATGAACTACAAACAGCCACTCTTGTGCATGGTCTTAATCAAGCCCAGTAGTGAACGTCAACACAAGGTCTGTGTGGCAATAATAATGATTTATGTTCAGTATCAGAGCTCAGCACACTGGAAAATCACACACCAAGTACTTCCTGCTTACTGAGACAATATGTAATAAGGGTGACCCTTCCATTTTCAGTGGGACACTAACAGGTCAAGCCAGGTGCATTTGGCATCTCTGAAGAGATGAAGGCAACAAACCTGAATGAAAGCCTCAGAAAAAGCACAGCGTAACCTTCCCATCCAGGGTCCAACATTTTCAAACTAAAAAGCTCAAGACTGGGTCATCAAGCCAGAAAAGTAGGAATGAAAAGACAAGAAACATAGGAAGGAGAAGGATAAAAGGATAAAACACTCAAGGCACTTGAGGAGATGCCATCCTTTTTTTTTTTTTCTACCTACCATACATTCTGAACAAAAAAAAGATGTTGCATGCAAGCAACTAAAATCAAAGTATTTAATACAATAACAAAATTCTGCAGACATCAGAAGCCGCTTTTATTGCTGGGATATCTTTATTTCAATGTTCATGTCTTCGTACTTAAGTTTAGAATATTGAAAACATCAGCAAGGATGGGCAATGTTCTGTAGCACCAGTTCCTGGAAAGACGCTAGCTGACAGCCTATTTCAAGAATATAAAAGTTATCACTCTCCTGTCCACCTCTCCATATGCATTTATCTGCACCTTTTAAGTCCAAACATCACTTCCTATTGCTCAAGAGCACAAGATCCTCATACGTCTTCACCGACAGTTTTTGATATTACCACAGAGCAACACACACTATACACAAACCTTATTCTTCAATGTTTTCCCACATCTTCCGCAAACATGCTAATTAAAACCTAGTACCTATCACTTTTAGATCACACTGTTGATCACATATTATTACCAGACAGCCTAATACTTCTACCTTGTTAAAAGGTGATTTTTCTTAACGAATTACTTACTTTGCTCTTATCCTGTTGCAACTCAAGATTTAGTAAAGTTTTTCTAGACCTAAATAAATTACATGAACTGCAAGATCTTTCTTCGCACTCAGTGACTTATCTGAAGAACTCCCATATCTGCTTCATCCCTCTAAAAAAGCTCTGTCGAATTCTTTCCTTACCCATAGTAGACAGTATAGACTATCTATAGACATCTGATTAAAGTGTCCAGTATGGAACTTCAGTATATTCTTCAGTTTTGATGATCTTTTAAAAGTTGGGTTGCTGCCTTCCCATACCTTTGCACCAGAAGCAGTTTTAAACCAACCAATTAAGCCTTGCAGATAGCAGTTCAGAAATGCCAGACTGAATTCCTGTAGAGCTCCTGAGTGAATGCTACCTAGCCATTACCATTTGTTACTCATTTTATTTATCTGCTGTAATACTTCCATGCACATGTCAGTTTGAGACAAGATCACAGAATACTCCAGGAAGCCTTTTGCAAAGAAACCTTTCAGTGCATGGACATCCCATAACATCTCTAGAGACAACAATACAAAAGAAACTTTGCTTTTATGTTATCTTTTTCTATTTTAAGTGCGCTTTCTACATCATCCATCAGCTCTTCATGTAGACAGTTTCCAGCTCCTGATAGGTTAGAAACAAAAATATTTTTCTACTTTTTACAAGCTGTTTCTCAGCTTATTTTTTGCTTCTAACGCTAAGCGTTCTTCTTACATATTTAACTTGCCAGGGTTTGCATTCCCCTTATCTTACCACTTTTAACCATCTCTGCTGTTCTGCAGTCAATCAAAACTATTTAATTTTAAACTTTCTAATTAATTCCTCATTTTAAAAACCATGACTTTCATGGCAGTTGCTAGCTGAAACTTCCCCAAATACAGAGTCACTGATAAGAATAAACTTTTATCCTTGTACCTATGACAGAGCATAGAAATGCATCTCCATTACACAAATTTGTATCAGCACAGGAGCCCAGGTAACCTGCAGTAAATATCAGTCACTTAAAGCTCATGTTCCAGAAGAATCACCCTCTCACACATTTGAAAGGTCCCTGGCCATAGGAAGAACACATGATGCTAGGAATACCTAATAGAAGTACCAAACGTGTTCAGAGAGTCTAAAACTTAATTTGGTATAAAGAACTTAGAGAGAAAATCGAAACGTTTAAACAAAGAGCTCTGGCTTTCTACTGTTTTTCAGTTCTTCAGTAAAATCTCCTTGCTTTAAACCTTTAAAAGATAGGCAAAGAAAAAAGATTTTTATTAGATCATTTGCCTTCAGAGCTATTTAGGAATTTGGTCCTGAACCTAAAAATTCAGGAGAATTATGGTAGATGGTAAGGGTGAAGTAAATTCACACATAATAGGCTTATGATCTTTTCAAAACCAAAAATGGGGTTTTGTGAGACAGGAAGAAGAATAAAACAAAAGAAGCTGCAACAAGTATCTCGTAGTTCAACTTCTTTGCCTTTACAACCTCCCATAGAAGTTCAGATTTGTCTGAAGTGAGAATGTGCATTGTTATATAGAAATGATGAGTATGGGATTCCCATTACTGATATAAGGAGATAGAGGAGTTAATTCAGAGTGCTTCTTTGCAGAGACATAAAAAAACTCTATGCTATACAGGCCAGGTATAAAGCCTCATCATCACTGGAAAGATTCTCAAAAACTTCAATAAGCTGTTCCATTGAAGGATGAAGAAAACAGCTTATGAAACCTTGTAAAGCACAGCTGCCTACTGTTCATGGGGGCATGGTTTATGATAAAGGCTACTTGTACACCAGCAGGTAGAACAGTCCACTAGGAATGGGTCTGTGATGAGGATGTGACACCCTAACTACAAGATGTGTGATGGTGGGGGTGATGCAGAACTGAGGGTTACTTTAGACTACCACTAGTCTAATTCTAATGCCTATCAGCAGTCAGAGCACAGTTTAGGATCAGTTTCTCCCAAAAGGGAATCTGGCTTGTGTGCACCAAGAGTACTCTGAGTCAAAGCATGACAAGTAGGTACACGGACATATGAAACACTGTTTGTGCTAGAGAAGGCTCAGAGGAAGGATCTTAACAATATACATAAATACCAGAGAGGTTGTAGAGTCTCCATCCTTGGAGATATTCAAAAGCAGTCTGGCCATGGTCCTGGGCATCGGATCTAGGTGGCCCTGCTTGAGCAGGGGGTTGGGCCAGATGACCTCAAGAGGTCCCCTCCAACCTCAACCCTTCTGTGATTCTGTGAAAAGAAGATCTGACCAAAACCTAAAATACTAATGTTAACACATTCACTAGCTACAGACTAACAGGGACAGTGAACAGAAGGGAAGAGAAACAAGTACAAGAAAATTCACACACAGGACAGCAGCAGCAGAGTTTTTGTTGAAGAAATCGGGTTTTCAGTCATACTTTAGTACCTAACATTTCTGCACCAGACACCTCTGAAGACAAGTACTGGCAACTGACACTTTTCAGTTAAAAAAGCAATACTGACATCTTTTTAGTATGAATTAAGATAAACAGTATCTAAACTTGACAGTCCCATTTTGTGTAACAATCCAGCTACTCATTAAAAGCTGATTAAGGTGCTCCAAGAATATTAGACTGCCCCATCTGCAAACTCTTCTCTCCATTCTTTGATGTAGTGAAGTGCTATGTTGCCTTACGTTTCTGTGAGGCCATATGCCAGGTCCAGCATGTCCATCTCTTCATCAGTAATTGCATCTAGTTTCTCAAATATGTGGTCTTCAAATATTAAATGACAAGTTGAACAGGCTAGTGTTCCTTCACATGCACCTAAGGAACAGAATAAATCAAGATAACAGAAAATCCAAGTTTCAAATTGCAGCAGAATTTCAGAAGAAATCCTACATATATAAGTGTTTGTCTCATACAAAAAGTCTCTGTTGATTAGCAAAATTAATGTTTTATATATTCCCACATTGATATACCTACTCTGCATTCAACTGTCAATAGTGTTTCTACAGTTCCTATAGCATTAAGATTTACTTAACTATTTTAACTAATTTATAGTATTTAACTAATTCTCTTTCCACCCTTTAAAGAAAGGTTTTCTACTATAAGAATGCAAAAGCAGACAACACTGTCAATCAACACTACTTGATTTATTTCCAAGGCTGATCCTTATCTCTCTTTTTCACATGGTTTTGAGAAGGTTTCCTCCAGAAGTTTAACAGAAGATACCTGCTACACCAAAAAAAATTCCTCAGAAGTACAGGAAGGAGGGAATTTATACTCGATATTTCTTCTCACTTAACAGAACACTAATTCACAGCAACAAAAGTAGTCAGGCCAGAGAGATGGTTTTATCTGTGCTAAAGAGGCCTACATGTATTATTATGAGGCAATCCAGTACAAGTCAAGGACCTAATAATTTGCTAGGGTTGAGCAGAACAAGCATCAACAACACCTACGTGCTACAGTAATGAGGTCACCACAGGACAGTAAAAATTTGAACACTAACAAATTTGTCACTGTGTTGGGCTGACACTAAGTTCTTCACATTGCTGAAAAAGAATCATGCAAGTTTAACAGGGCAGGAAAGGTTGAATACTGTGGAGAGTGGGATTGGGGCACACAAACCCCAAGCTCCAATTTAAATTGATAGCAGAGAAGCAGGTAACACATTAGCCAATTATCATTTATTTACTCATTTCCAGGGAAGGCAGAACCAAGAATACGGTGACTCCATCACCTTTGTACTCATAAGTAAATAAGGGAAGCAAGATCGTATGCATAACCACTGCTATGGAAAGAAACAGTGGAATTTATCATCAGACAAGAATTACACGCAGAGCACCATGCTGTTACATGCAGTAACAGTATCAACAGCATATATTCAAAGTAAGCATGACACTGTACTAGATTATTTTATTTTTAAAATATATCACGTCTTCAAAGGCATGTTAAAAAGTAGAGTTCAAATAAAGTGCCAAATACAAAATTTGTTTTGTCAGCAGTCTAAGGATCTTGAATGTTGGGAAGGTGAGGGAAGGAGTGAGAGGAGAAGGAAAGAACTGATCAGTCTCTTTGGACAGTGGAAGGTCTTTCCACAACTGTAAAGCTAGCAGTAATAAACAAATTGAGTGCAGCCAAATCATTCAAGAGTTTTATAAGCCTTTACACAAAGATATTTCTATTATTATTACTGCACATGGGATGCCCCCTAGTGATAAAGCAAATAGGTATGATTTATGTTTCACTTTTCCCTCAATTTTTCTCTAAACACAGAACATACATTTTTCCTGTATTATTTCTCCGCCCTAGTATGATGTTTCATTAGCAAGTGGTTATTGAAATGAGACTAGCATATGTTATAATTAAAGATTGCTACAATATTCCACATTTTTTTTTCAGTTTGGTTTCTGTTTATTGACAGCATTATTTTTTCCCACTTCACCATAATGCCTTAACATGGCTGATATTTACACAGAGAACATTTACTGTAGGATACAGGCAGACCAGCCATAAGCCTATGAGTCATTTAGTAAGTGATAGATACAGCTAATTAAACCAGTGCATTAGATATTTTTAAAAATGTCTCTCTTAAGAGACAATTCTTCTTCCCCAGATGCATGCAGCTCTAGATATAAGAGCTGTCTCAGATATTAAGTGTAAGATTTTAAATCATATCAAAGATTTCATTACTAGCAGTAAAACTTATTTGCACCTAACTAAAACACACCTCAGATTTCAAACTGTGCTATAATAGTCTGCTTTTTTTTCCTCCAGTTGCTTCCTGTTACATGTTCAGTCCTGAAAATTGTACTTCCACTTCCTACTTTAGTTCTATTAATTCTTCAGCTCATATTCACATAAATACCTCTCCCAAGGTATTTAATTGTCATTTTCTAACATCACTGCTTTGTATGGACAGAATCCTACAACTTCAATGGAACTATCTTTGAGCAATGTGGTCTAGTGGAGGGTGTCCACTGGAGGGGGATTGGAACTAAACAAACCTCAAGGTCCCTTCCAACCCAAAGCATTTTATGATGCTAACTAATGAAAGTGCAAAAGTTTGAAGAAACAGGGAGAAGTTATAGCTTCCTCCTATTTTGATTTTAAACAGAATTCATACCAAGTCAGAATTTCATGAGGGCTTTGGTCTCTTTAATTCTTTAATAAGAATTAAACTTCTTGCTCTTCCCTGCTAACTGACATGGATTTGGTTGTTTATTTGTCTTTGCACTCAAATACTACAGCAAACTGTGCTACAAAAAGCCTGATAATAAATTGAGACTGTATGGCACTACAGAAGTAACCAGACACTTTTAGAAATACACCAGTTTTGTGTTGCCTCCAGAACCTTTCAGCTCAGAAGAGTCTGCAGATGGCAACTTTCAGATTCCACCTTGACAGTACTCTGTTCACATTCCCCTCCTTTAATATTCAAGCCAAGATCACCTCAAATATTTTTTTTAAAACTTGAACCAAAATATTCTATGCACCTGCAGGAGAAAAAAAAGAGGAGAAAATCCAAGTAAACTACAGGTAGGTTTTATATATAAATTCATAAATATTCATTTATGGTTGGACTTGATCTTAATGGTCTTTTCCAACCTAAATGATACTATAGATACTTACGCATAAACTGGAAAGTAATTTCTAGACACTGAATACAGTTTTCACTGAATCTACTTACCAAAACCATCTATGTCTAGATTATTATCAACAACAACATCCAGCAGTGAATCCCCAGGTTTTCCCTTGGCTGTCAGTTTGTCACCATCGCGATTTATGAAATGAACAGTTATTTTATCTTCTGAGCTGAAAAAGAAAATTACATACTAGAATTAAAGAATTCTAGAACTTTTTAGAGCTTTAGCATTGATTGAATACTACTAAACTAATAATCACAATCAACTCTAAGAGCTGAGAAATCTAAGTTATTGGCTTTTAAAAGCTGTTACAGGTACAGGCATTTACTGGTGTACATTGAACAAAGACCATAAAAAAAACCAAAACAAACCATGGTTTATGTTTTGTCACTAAAAGCTATATGGGATCCTGATGTTTTGCCTTTCACCAAAGAGGATCAGAGCTATTTTATTTTAGGCACAATATTTGTATTTTTAACAAATAAAAGAGTTCATTTTAAATGTTTCTCTCTCCACCTTTCTGTGGACTCTTGCTTTGGATTTATGACATTTTTATTGTTCTCATCATTATCATTTAGGATAAACTGTAAATTTTCCCATTTCTGCCTAGAGTTTTAGATATTTTACTTTATTAGTTCCAAAATTTATTTCTCCTCTCCTTCCTGCCAAAACAGGAAATACTCAAAAAACATTCTGCTGACTTCAAGCACAGATTCTCTTAGGAGTTCGACTTATAAATATTAATTCTAGTGAAGTTCAAAGTTTTTACATGTTTTCAAAGACAGACGGTTTTGTATTTTTCTGCTTTGCTTTTCAGACAATTATTTAAGAAAAAACTCTCTTGCAGTCTGCATAAAAATGTCTTAACCTAAAGCTTTTAATATGAAAAAATTGATTTTTTTGCATTCCGTATTACATTATTTCAAATGCAAATTAAATGAAGGCTTTAAATATACTAATGAAATACGGTTTGTTCGATTTTAAGCAGACTATTTTCTTTCCTACAGTAAGTGAGCAAAACAAGAAAAACTTATTGGATGGACAGTAAGAAATCTGCCAAGACGTGAGAGATAAAAATAGAACAACCAAAAGGTAATGCAAAAATTTATGCTTCCATGTGAAATTCCTACTTAAGAACCACTTATTATTCTTATGCTTCTTATTACTTCTTATTACTCATTTTTAGTAACTGTGGGCCTTGAGTGATCTATCATATGCAAAATACACAAGTTTGAAAATCAAGTCATCCTCTGGAAAACTCTAACCTTTAGAGCTGAATATTAAAGCAAAAATTTGAAAGTGGCCATGCTGAAACATCAGTGAAAAAATTACTTTTGTAACTGGCTGTAAAAGAAAATGTGTTTTTAGCAACATGAGTCCTAGGTTGTTATGAGAAACAACAAATGTTTGTTGCTGTAGACTTTATATACTTGCCACAACTGTAAGATCAGTTGGCAGCAGTGTGTGCCATGATGATTCATTATGATGTCATGCTCACTTCTTTTCCTATCATCCCTCAGTCCATTCTCCAGAAGGCAGCCACAAGCTTTTATTAACAATAAATTAATTCCAAAACTATAATTGATAATGAAGGACTGACCTTGCTGATCTGCAATGTAATTGAAGCATGCACTATAATAAAATTCAGACATCTTAAATATACATCTCTACAAAATGTAATTAACGTTCCACAGTCACCTGTGATATCCAAGGACCACCTCCAGCAAACCGTTCTGTGGAGGTTTAAGTTACCACTCTGCTTTTTGTTGTGCTCCTCTGCTATGCTAACACCTCCCACAGCAGAACCAAGGAAACAAGCACCCACTTAGACAAACTAGTACAAAATTCACCACCTCCACAAGGAGTTTAAGACTGGTGGGTTTCGACTGCATCTGGAAATGGTCACATTCTGAGAACCAAAGTAAACCACTGACAGTGTAATTTAAAATGGCTTCAAAAAGCCTGTCCAGAGGTCAAAGTACACTCTGATGAAATATTTCTGTCAAGATGACAAACACAAGCCTGACAGGAGATACCGTGAGAGATGTACTTGCATTTCTGGGCATCCTCAGTACACAGCAAGTACTAAATATTTATTCCAATATCCTAAATATACCCTTTATTCTATTATAGGATGAGGTGATCACAAATAACACGGACCAAACAGCAGGATGTCTGTCTGTCCATTAGATCACTGGAACTTTTGTACATGACAAGTCAACTCCCTCCCAGTTTTCAAAACACACTTGAAACTGTCTTCACTTGTGATTACACTTTAATCTGGTACAACACCACAGTGTCACAAGAACAGTCCTGCCCCCGCTCTTCTGTTCCTTCTCTCTCCAGCGCTCACACTGTCATGTGGTAAACTGGGCCTGGAAACAAAACTGGCCGAAAGTCAATCCTCATAGGTCAATGGCTGCATGGATGTCAGAACTGGAACAGTCAGATCTGACCCTCAGACAAAATTTACACCAGTTTAGAACAGTTGTGTTACTACAACTTTATGATCCAATGACACAATCTAAGCTTCCCGATCAGATTAAACCAATCTCTTTCTGGTGTAAAAATGTGGGTTTGGCTGATCCCCCCTTCAGTCAACTCATTTTGCTAATCTGGATGAAAATTAACCATAAAAACAAAGTAGTCCCAGCTGGACCAGACAGCAAAACCGACAAAAGTGCCACTGCCCACAGCAAAAATGAGGAAACAGCAGTGGAGCAATCTTACAATCTTATATTTGCTTCACCCAGTTGTGGATCTGCACCATGGCTGTGCTTGCCTGATGGGTGTGGCATGCAGCAAGGGGACAAACAGAAATATCACTTCTTCACAACTCACTGGCATTTGTTGAAGACTGATACAGTAATTAATCTTTCTACAGGACCTAAATCCACCCTGATTGATAACTGAAGCTACACTTCATTTATTTGTGTAAGGTTAGATACAGCCTTCTACAGTCTTGCAGTAGGATCTGGTTTTCTGCTATTAGCACCTTTACCACTCCTCACATAGCCAAAACGTTAAATTTAGAAAAATCAGTGAGGCTTTATTGAGTGGTGAAAATACTTTCAGAAGTGTGGTGTATGTAATAATCAGACTAGTCAGACATTCAAAACATACTGAGCAAATCTTTTCAATGACTGGGAGATACCATTAAAAAAATAAAATTCAGACCTACGTGAAACAATACTTAGGCCTTTTAAATTTCAAGTAACATAGCTTTTGTCTACCCAGACATTGTTTGCATGAAGAAAAACAACCAAGCAAATACCAACATGATGTGAACTAGTCACAGGCAGTTAATGCGAAACGTGTCAGGTCTATGCAAGTATGAGTAGCCTCAGGATTATCAGGAAGAACAAAACATAGTTTGTGTTATCTGTGTGAAGCATAAATATTCCAATTCATTCTCAGATAAACCAGATGAAAACCACAATTAATTTCTTCATACGGCTGCCACAGCACTATCAGCTTTTTTATCAAGCTTCACTAGGATACTCTATATTGAGCATACTGCAAATGCACAGAAGAGCACCAGAGAACTGTAAATGTTGTTCATTGTCTCTCCCGTGCAAAAAAGAGTAAATACTGCAAGAATCCTGACAGCCACCTCTTCCTCCTTAAAAGAAGTATTCTTTTGAATCTTAGATATTACTTCCAAGTTAGGAATCACCTCTTACATTCTTCCAAACAAAACATAAAGGTAACAACCATAGCCTAGTGTTACACGTGGCAAGACCAACTCTGTTACTTCCAGATCTTTTAATAAACAGCAAATCCAACAGCCCTAAACACCTAAAGAGTCTCATGAATGAAACTATTAAACAGGCCTCAATTAAAATACGAAGTTATAAACCTGAACTAATCTTTAAAGCATGCAACAATTATGCTGTGCACCAAAAACATTGTACAGCTATCCAAACTGGTATAAAAGAATTCTGAGATAGCTCCTGTTTACCCAAAGGAAAGGGTAACAGATAAAAATGGAACAAAAGAAAAGAGAAAACAGAAATCAAAACATAATGCCTGATGCTTCACTGAAACCCTTGGGAACCTCTGCTCCCAAGAATCACTTCAGGTAATGTTTTCTATGATGTTTTCACCTTCTAGACACAAATACAGCTAATTTTACATATACAAACAATGACGTATCTTTTTACTGGAATAACACTGGCTGACTATATAAAGGTCAGGAACCGGGCCTCAAATAATACGATGCCCAGAAAAGGCAGGACTAGAGAAAATAACTCTCACATATATTGAGAAAACAATAATATCCGAAGATTTTCCTTTTCTTCTGACTCATTCAGCCGGGTTATGATACAAAATATATAAACAACACATTTGAAACACTTGTTTGCATAATCTTTTTTGCTGATGGGCTTGCACAATGAGTGTGAATAAATTCCATTCTGTATTCAGCCTGTTTGTGAAAGACCTGAGGGATTACAGGTCTTACATTACTATTAAGTAAGGAAATGTTTTCCCTTCTAAGTATTCTTTTTCCCCCATTTTTACCCTGTTCAATAATTTGAATACCTTTTTAAAAACTGACAGTATTTTACAAAGGTATTTTTTTTTAATTAAAAATCGCAAACCAGGTACTTCAAAATCAACCGATCATCAGCAGGGTCACTCAGAGAAGAGATGTGACTAGCAACTTACCCATCTCATATGGGAGTCCTAGACTAAAATGTTAAGTTTGTCTCTCCACATGAAAAGTATCTGCTGGAACAAAGTCAAAGAGCACCTACAGGAGAGTTTAAAGCAAACTATTGAAACAGCTTTGATGGTGAGGGCACTATCCCAACCCTCTTGAAACAGAGTAGGGTACACCCCTGATGCTGGGCAGGTGGTTGCAGGTCCTGTTCAGAGTCAAGGAAACTTTTCTGACAACCAAGTAAACCAGGCTTCTAAAATTTCTGCATTTCAAATACTGAAAATTTGCTACAGACTATGACCTGTCTTTAAATATAAAAACTACAAGCCAGAAGGCTGTGCATAAACAGTCTTTGACTACATGTCACAAAACTACAGTTAAGAACTGTGGAATATTAAACCCCTGTAGATGAAATGCACTTTAAAACACCTACTCTTACATACTGGTGAGGACAGGAGGGGTTCTGCATACTCAGATCACAGAATCAATTAGTATGGCAAAGACCTCTGAGATCATAAAGTCCAACCTGTGACTGAATACCACCATGTCAACTAGATCATGGCACTGAATGCCACATCCAGTCTTTCCTTAGAGAAAGATGCACAAGTGCTCTTCAGTAGCGGAAAACTATACCAAAGACTGAAGAGCCCTTCAGTACCGGGCACTCTGATATGCGCTGTATTTTTATCACAAGCCTAGTCAGGCTTCCAAAAATGGGGGCAAAAAAAGCAAGCACTGCACTGCACGAATAAGCAACTTTGCTAAGGTCACAACCTTTTAGAGAACTAGTCTGAGCACCAGGAACCCTGGTTTACCGTTCCATAACGCCACAAGCCATTCCAACGGGGTTCCAGGTCACACCGACCCCGTGCCTCACCCGGGCCGACCCGCAGCTCCAGCACAGCCCTCCGGGGCACAGGAAGGTTCCCCGAGAGCGCGCCGGTGCCACCACCCCGCAGCCGCCGCCGGACGGCGAGGGCAGGAGCGGCCGTGAGAGGCGGCGGGGCCGGGGCCCGTCCCGGGTCAGCGCGGGAAGGTCACCCCGCGTCAGCCCGGTTCGGGCGGCCCGTGCCACGGGCAGCTGCTAGCCCCAGCTGCCCTCAGCGCCGAGGCCCAGCGCGGCACAGCTCCTCCGGGGAGATCGCCCGGTGCTTCATGGACGCGACCCCCTTACCTGAGCACCGCCCGGGCAGAGAGGCTGAACGGCCGCGCTGCCCTCACAGTAGCGGCGGCGCTGCCGCAGCCCGGCCTCATCCCGCCTGCCGGCGAGCTGGAGGAGAAGAGCCAGCGGCGGGAGGAGGCGGCGGCGGTCCGGAGGAGCCGCGCCGGCCCCGGGGCGGCCATGGTGGTGGGACGGGAGCGCGCGGCCTCGGCGGCAGTGGGGCGGGAGCAAAGTCCCACCGCTCACGCGCGCGACGGCGCTGCAGCGATTCTCGCAGCCGGTTACGGAGCGCGCGGCCCGCCCTGCCCGCGTGACCGCGGGGTTACGCAGAGTGCGCGCGGGGGAGGGGCGGGCCCTACGCACACGGCGCAGAACGCGACCGGCGCGAGCTGCCGCGCCGGCCTGCCAGGAGCCCTCGCGACTTGCGGTGATTCCGGGTTCCAAACCTTAACCCTGGTCTGCACGGGAAGGTGGCGTCGTGGAACCCAGCGTGTGCTGGCCCCCTGCCCAGTTGTGTCCATCAGGAGTTTCTTGTCACATCAAGGACGGGGCGCTGGGCGGTCGGTGGCACACACGGTGGAGGTGTCACCCAAAGAGCCTTCACCACATCTCCAATGCCCCTGTGGGGGGCCCGACCTGCGGGGGACTAGGCTCCAGCTCCAGGCTGGGCAAGTGGTCGGTGAGACCTGGAACCCCATTGAAACAGCTTATAATGTGGAACTCCCAGGGAAGTGGAGCTGGCAGCTGGGGAGTCTGAGCTGTCCAACAGGGCTGTCCAGACAGGGCCACAGAGAAATTCCCAGTTCCTCATTACTATTTCTTATGACAACAGATCCAACTCCTGAAACCCAGGTGTCAGCAAAGGGACAGCAGCACTATCAGAGGATCTAACAGGAGATGAGCATTCGTAGTGAATAGCTCAAAGGTGAGTATGTGCAATAGGAAATTTTGAGATATCCTGAGCAATTACAGACTGCACATGTAGGCTTAATTTGTCTCTCTACCAGTTTTGATTAGATGGTTATGTAGAAACCCTTCACTCTACCACACCCAGACTGGGGAGTTCTGGGTGAATGAGGAGAAATGGAGCCTGTACTTTGAAATAATTAATTCAAACAGGAGTGGAAATAAATAGGGGGGGAAAAGGGAATGTTGTTTACCTCTGATGCTCTTGAGGTTGCTAAGATCGTTCCCGATGCCTTATGATTTTGTTGCATTAGAGTAAGATCAAAGAGGGAGATAACATTATACTAACTTGAACCAGTGCATTTTCTTTAAGGAGAGAAGAAGGTCCTGGTGGAAACGTCAAGAGCCTACAAACTGCCTGGCCAATTGACTTGAATGTGTAAGTTTTCTCTGCTTCAGGTATATAGCTGCTAGCCTCGAAGCTAGACTCAATGTTGTTAGAGGGATTCCCTTTACCCATTACAGATATGGCCAATGTGAGATTTTAGATAGTCCACATCTTGTCTTTTACACTTTATTTCAATTATTGCTATGTCAAAGTAGCTTTACAACACCTGTGCTGTAAAACCAAATTTGTTTCATGTCATTATCCTTTACATTACAGTATTCTTTCCACAAAAACAAATATACGGCTCTCCCCATCTAGATTTAGCATTGGATTTTAAAAGCATTACAATTACCTACATACATGGTATATCTCTACATTTCAGCTGACATGAGGCTGACCACATTTTCTACGTAATTTCCTTAGAAATTTTACCTGTCACAGAGGCTGCAGTAACTTTACACTGGTTGCCACTGTGTACAATACAGGAAGAATAGCTTTCAGTTATTCTTTGACTACTAGCAAAATAATTGCATTTGTTCAATATACCACTCGTAGAATAATATTTTAAAAATATAACTGAAATCAGTGCACTCAATATGTTTATTAAATCATATATTATTATAAATGCAGTTAAAATATGTGAATATATCATAGAGAAGTCACCAAAATAAATACTCTGAGGGCTTCATCCTCAGCTACTTTACTGGTATCCCCTCACCCACAATGAGCTCTTTTTCATTGGCTTCTTTTCCAACACAAGAGACTGTGGCCACAAATAATACAGTTTATTTCAATGCTGTTACTACAGCATGGGGTCATATATACATAATCCTATAGCTAAATACATACAGCTGTAGCTGGACTTCTAATATTGTAAAGCCCAAAGAGCACATCAGATAATCTAGTTTGACTTCAACCAGAAGGCTGCTTGTTACAAATTAATGGTTAATGCAGGAAATAAGTCTGAAAGGGACCCTCTGGACCTTCTACTGTTGCATGTGACCTCTTTGCTGTCACATGCAACTCAAGTAAATAAATAAATTTTTATCTAAATATTTATCTGTTTCCTAAGTTTTCTTGCTGCTATTAACTGCACTGAAAAACAATCTCAAAATTTCATTCCTTGGAAGTGGAGAATGCCAAATTGTTTATCAATTTTCAAACAATTTCTTTTATTAGTTTAGTTCTTAGTATAGGATTATTTATGCTCATTTTTTCCTGGCCAGGGCTGCTTATGAATTTAGTTTTACTTCTTTCTGAAGTTAACTGATCATTTGTTGTACCCCCTCCAGCCCTTTTAGTTTAGCCTCTGTTATCACTAGTTTCCTTCCTTTTATTTTAGCCACTGTTATTTCTAGTCTCCTTCCATAAGACAGGAAACTCTCACTGTTCTTCTGGTTGTCCCACTGAGCCATTTGTGCATATGTTAATTTGAATTCCACGTTGTTAAACATGGGTGACTAGTTAGTACATTCAATTCAATTGTACAGTGTCTCTAATAGAAGTGTATGGCCCTGATACATCCCAAGATTGTATTTGATCTTTTTTCATGTACAAATTAAATTAGTAGCTTCAAATCAGTGAGCTTTAAATCAGTGTGATCAGTTAATAATTTAGATGTCCTTTGATGCTTCTCATTAATGAAGCCATCATTAACAGCAAGAGTTCTTGATTTGCGCAGACTGAACAACGTAAGCTCTTTGAACTTCGCTTCGATCCGCTTTCAAGTGGGATTTTCATCCATATACTGTTTTAATGAAGAAGGCCATCAACTTGCTTTACCCCTGTGTTGGATATGTTCCATAGCTCTGTTCCAGCCCTCTGACTGCCATGGCCCTGAGCACATTACCCCTTTGCAAAAGTTTAGTTGGCAGAATCCAAGGTCAGGTCCTCCACTGATAAGAGCAGTTGTGAGAAAAGCCATAGCGAGGGCCTGCCCCTCCTTTCCCTTGAGAGCCACTTTTAAACTGAGGCTTTGCGCTGACCCGCGCCTGTGCCAGCAGCTCTGTTTGCACCATCTCGAATCTCCACAAGTCTGGCCCTGATTCAGACTTGCTGACTTGGCATCCTGGCTTGGTCTCGGACCTGCCTTGCCACTGCATCCCTGCTGGGTGATTACTGGGCTGTATCTGACCCTGGCCACTGTCTCTCAACCAGTCTTGGCCCTGGGTTGCTGTTCTGCATCCTGGCTCCTTGTTGGCGAGGTGACTGCTTTTACCCACCTCAGTATTGTGCTTAGCTCCTGGCACACCTTCTGTTGCAGAGTAGCCATCTCATGCTGCTCCCTGAAACCTCCCACCCCCAAACACAGAGCCCTCCTAATTCCTTCATAGTTTGTATATAATGTACGTTTTTGGGTGGGCAAGCTTGAAGAAAATGGTGGAGCAAATTAGATCAGGACATCCTGACGCAATAAGAGGAATAGAGTGAAATAAAGGAGAGAAAAATTACCAATGGGGTGTACCTAACCTCTCTCTGAATCTCAACTTGGTTGTGTGCAGGTTTTTGTTGCTTGTCTCCATGGAATGTTCATCCTAATGGTAGAGCACTTTGCAGGAGGCACTTCATCCTTTTTCATTTTTTTTTTATAGGTTCTTGCACATTGGGGAACAGATGTAATACAAACATTTTTTCCCTCCCGAAATTATATCCATCAATTCTTTACTATTTTTAAGTTTGTATTTGTAGGAGGCCAACAAACCACTAGATGGCGAACAGTTTCAGCAAGATAATGCGTGGGGTATTCATATGACCTTCTGTCCTCAGCTTCATCATTCTGTTTCTGTCGAGCTTCATGAGCTGGACCTGTTGGAATGAGTCCAGAGGAAGGCCTTGAAGATGATCAGAAGGCTGGAGCACCTCTCCTATGAAGAGAGACTGAGAGTGTTGGGGTTGTTCACCCTGGAGAAGGCTCCAGGGAGACCTTATTGCAGCCTTCCAGTACCTGAAGGGGGCTACAAGAGAGCTGGAGAATGACTTTTGACAAGGGAATGTAGTGATAGGGCATGGGGGAATGGCTTCAAACTGAAAGAGAGATTAAGATTGGATGTCAGGAAGAAAGTTTTTTAGTCAGAGGGTGGTGAGACACTGGAACAGGTTTTCCAGAGAAGCTGTGGATGCCCCAACTCTGGGAATGTTCAAGGCCAGGTTGGATGGGGCCCTGGGAAATCTGGTTTAGTGGAAGGTGTCCCTGCCCAGGGCAGGCAGGCTGGCACTTCATGAACTTTAAGGTGCCTTCCAACCCAAACCGTTCCATGATTCTGGAATTGTTGAGGCCATAGCGTGTAGTACCATGACAATTTATAGAAATCTGAGGTGAAGCTGACACAGTCCTTCTCCTCCCTGCCTCTCCCTCCCTTTTGCTTTTCTAGTGTTCATGAGTCAGGTGTGTAGATTCATAGAGGTGATTTCTGCAAAAACTAACAGGAACAAAAAGGAAGGAAAAAAGAACAGTAATTAGAGTCTCCAATGAAAGAAAAAAGCATTTCCAACTGCACAAGATTGGTGCTGACAATGAATTACAGCCTGATATCCACTCCTCTTGTCTACTGGTGCCCAATTTTCTTCTCTGAATAATGCTGTTATTAACTACCAGTAACACATTTTTGCTCTCTTCCCAGAAGTCCGTACAGTTGTTTTGTAAGAACATATGCAATGAAGTGTAAAAAATCTCTCCATTGAGCAAGGATGTTGATTGCTGTAGATGCTGCAAGACGTGCTGTGCTGTCAGTAGTGAGTGGACAAGTGATATATGAGGTCCTGCATGCTGGCCTTTACTACCTTTGAAAAATACATTTTGTATAGATGTCTACAAAGGAATGCGTTTACTCTTACTGGTAGACTACTGGTTTGTAATGGGAAGCAGCTCAATTACACATGAGAAAGGCTTTAG